TTAAATTCGATCAAAACACATTATGAGAAATGTAAAAAAGTATCAATGGGGCATTAAATACATTTTAATATGATAATATTATTAAACTTAAGGATTTTTTAAGGACTATTGTAGCGCTATGAACATTCATTAATTATTTGAATGTTAAGACAATAAAGAAATAAAGGATAAATAAAGTTACTCCGCAAATAATAAAAGTTCAGCAGTGACCATTAATGTGATGTACCTACTTACTTTTAAACTTTCGCGTTCCATGATAATTGTATATAATGTATACATAATAATGCCTGTGACCACGGCCGGTGCAACCTGGTCGAAACGTCAGGCAAACCAGAGGTATGTAATACCCTAAATAAGAGATCGCGTTAATTCCCGTTAAATAATATTAATGTACCTACTTGTATTAATGTTCATTTTTTACCAATATTTTGGTAAAAACAATAAAGGCACTGCCTTCGAAATTGTGCACCATCAAAAGTCTTTTTAGTCAAACAGTAAATCTAGCACTCAAGGGATTCCATTAAAAATAAAAAGAGAAAACTCGATGGTTAAGTAAATCAAAAGTTCCGTAAAGTGGCACCGCGGGACAGAGTGACACATTGCAATGATAGCTGGCCGGAGATATAGCGGCCAGAAAAAAACTTCCAATAAAAGTTACACGAACGCGGGTAGCTTAAAAAAGACTTGATAGGTAGGCGACACGTACGAATAATTGCCTACACAGAAGAATGCAGTTCGCATAAAGGAAATTAAACTTTGCTTTGGTTGAGGATATTTTTACACCAACATTTATTTGCTTAAGCCATTTAGTTATACTTTAATCCATTTTATTCTAGTCTGTAATAGCTCTTTAATCTACCGCTACTTCGTACAAACCTGATTGTAACAACCATTTCGTTCAGCTCCCGCTTATCGGATCGGTGGAACTAAAGTTAGAAATGTACAATCTGCTGTCTATTTTATTAATGCACGTGAATATATTTATAATTAGTCATGCTTTTCTAATTGAAACTACTTTAATAAATATTCAAAAAAATATAGAATAAAAATATAGCGCGTTTAAATCTACTAGAGGCCCTTTCTCTGATAATGATTGTAAATTGATAATATCAAATGTTTACAAAAGTATATATGCATATGTCCTTTAAATTGCCTGTTTAATTCACTCTCTAAACTTTATTCTCTCTAATAAAGGAATACTACGATTGTCATGGTAAAAAGTGTTAGTGAAAAAAAACTAGTAATTTTAATAGGTAAATATATTTACCCATTAAAATTAATAAGTTTTATTACACATATTAAGTAAGTTCAGGTTCAACATTCAAAATTGTATATAAAGGAATATTGAAATACTAAAATTATATCGTCCGTTAGTCATTGCCGAAAGCTCTTTCCGTGCATATAAGTCAACGCTGAATGATACATTTGATATAAACGACATAAGAACACGACTAATTCATCAAATAATAATAAATTTATGTCCTTTAGATTGTGTCAATGAAATATCTGATACAAACTGCAAAATGTATATGGTTTTGGATTCCTATATGGAAATTATCTGAACCCACCTTGCAACTGCCTTCGTATCAGTCATACATACGTCAAACAGGCCCACATGACTTCGGGTCTCTTTGTTTTAGTATGCAGGTGAATTGATCTACTTGTTACTTTTGATCTATTACTATAATAAATATTATAAAATGAAAATAATGATGATGTTGGCAAAAAGTTAAACTGTTCTCGTCACGCAATTAATTTACAATAATTATAATTAGCTGCATTATTTAATAGTAACAAATAAGATCCTTATATGTTACCACTAATAAATGAATGAAAAAGAATCAACTTTAAGAGTAATGCTTTAAAAATGTGATATTGTTATCAATATAAGAGCTTTTGCAAAAAACAAAGTAGAAATTTTGTTCATACTGCGTTGTATTAATATTTTCAGATTATAAATAACAGCAATGCAATTAATTTGGCATTAAAACATATTTACTTACAATATCGTATTTCAGGAAACGTTTGATATTCGAAATAGTCTGGTCATAAATTTAAAACACTGTTCTAGGTAACAAGTTTAAAAATTCACCCGCTATCCAAGATTAATGTGTCTATCCATGTATTGAATATTATCGAATGACCTGCTTGACGATGCACCGACTACACGTAATAGGCAGATGTTATACATACATTCAACTTCAACCTCGACGCCATAGCAACTGATTAAACTGTCTGTGGATGTGTAAATTGAATTTGAAAATGTATAAAATATTTCGCCTGGTGAACTGAGTTTTTGGTGCAACTGAGCATTATATAAATTTGTAACTATTTTGCTTCGAAAATGGCCGAACAATATAAACTGTACAACTTGGCGATTGATGCTGTCTACAACAGCATCAGTTTTCACCTGATCTATTCTCAAAATCTTCTCATATGATGATAAAATAGGATTATAACAGAACTTTGATTTATCAACATATTTCAAAATGGAATTTTAATACATTAAAACGTACTAAGCTTTTTCCTGCTTTATAAAAACTAATGATTCATATTATAAAATTAATTCCACTCTTGGTTGTGGATTAATTTAAATTCATTCCCGTCCCAAGAACTAACAATTATTCCATAACAAACTAAAAATTAGGATAATATACCTACCAGAATTTATGAAAATGACAACGCCCTGAGTAATGTGTAAAGTAGTAGATATGTTTTTCTTTTCTTTAGTAGTATGTGATAGTTCTATTCTTATTGTACCAACTTTTTTAACAAAAATAATCTTAAACAATTTTTATTTTATTTCAGTAGTTTCTTTAGACCTCTAAAATACTCAATAGGCTTAATCGAAGAACTGGTAATATCATACACATTACTTCTTAGTCGGATAATCAAACTGACAGAAAAGCAGGAATGATAAAAACGATACATGACCGCTCGTTTTGTCCTACACGTTGCAGTAGAAGTCACGTGATGATGAGTTATATGTCGATGGCACACAGCACTCCACACTCATTCTCAACTGCCTCGGTGGTGCTGTGGTAGCGTAAGCGACTGCTGTACCGAGGTCTCGGGTTCGATTCCCGGCTCATACCAAACGTTTATATGATCTGCAAAATTTTGTTTCGGAGTTTGGGCGAAAAAAAGTATTCTATCAGTCAATCTATCTTTCATAGTACAAGTTCTGCTTAGTTTAAAACTAGATGGAATTGTGTGTTAGATGTTCGAATTATTATTATTATTCTCACTCAGATAGCGTAAGCTCTCTTCAAGCAATCCTGCCATACAAATTCACCTAATGCGAATTTGAATCATTATTGTTGCTTCATTTTTTGATTTTATGTGAGATTAGCTGACCCGCGCAACTTCTCTCTCAAAAGGAATAATTTTCCCGCGTTTTCGCAACATTTTTAGGCTCTCGTAGCTTGATTTTATGTAACCTATGGCCTTTCTAGATAAATGAGCTATCGAACACTAAAATAATTTTCCAATTCGAACTAGTACTGCCTGGAATTAGTACGATCAACCAAACAAACTCTTCAGCTTTATAATATTAGTTTACTCGTACGTGTTTAATTCAATTTCAACACATCCTTATTATAACTATCTGGACGATACGATGTCCTAGTTTAATTTCTGCGATTCGTTGATTTCCATGAAACCTGTCCCCATTTAACGGCTCCTCTTAATTGCAATATTACAATTATTTTTTTCAATAAGAAAATGTAAAATTATTATATCACGAATTTAAATAACGAACAGGCACACTCAAACAAAAGCCAATCACTTATTTACAACGAAACAGTGTGAAACTCACGTGAAGATACAATCAACAATTATACGCCTTATGTATAATACAGATAAAATTACTTTTTGACATTTTTATTGCATACTATATTCTCACGTAAAAATATCATTTGTCAAAAGCTTTGATCTCACATCTCACAATATTTTTATCTGAAGTACCGCAGTGAGTACTGATAGAACGATCATATAACATTTAAAAGAGTAAACATTCAAGATATTAATTATTTTTATGATTATGATATGAGCAGCATTAAGAAAAAAGTCGTAAAATATTCGATGTGACGATAATAATTAAGGGGGTGTTTACTTAAAGATGAAGGCCTCTTCTGTATAGGACTATTCCACAATAGAACATAGTTGGCTATGTCGACTTATAACCTTGTTCCCTTCTCTTACGAAAACCTCTACGCGTACCTCTTCAAGGATATACAGACATAATTGTAGATAGATATATATGTATATAAAAACCCGTTTAAAATAAAATAAACGGCTAAATTGCAATGCATATCTAAATTAGACACACTGTCTATATCTGTAAAAATCATGTTTTATCTCAAGCTGTCTTCAGACGTTGCCTATTTTAGATTTCAAATTTTCAAGTCTCATCCATTGGTAATGCGATGTCATTCATTTAAAATTCGACCATGCAATATGTCTAGACTATGGCAGACGGAATATAAATGTCCTATGACCTAGAATTATCGAGTTTAGATGAAAAGATGACTACCGTTTTCGAATATGTTAGTGCATGTATTTGAAATGGGATAAATACGTTTATTTGTTGGTTAAAAAAAGACACTATTGTATTACTGATAGTTATAAAGGCTCTCCATCCCAAAACAAATATTTTTCCAGCATCATCTCAGCTACTATCTGAACGCAAAAGGACGCTGGCGCACGGCGGAAGGATGAAATTATTCAGTATCTAATTTATTTACTGACATCTGCTAATCTGTCTCAGCAAGCCCTACCAAAGCAAGTTCTAGGCCTGACAAGAAGTGGATATCTGAATTTGCCGTTGAGACGAACATAGCCTTATGGGAAATTACACTTCATGTTCTGCTTTAAGTATGTGGGGTAGCTGAAAACGGTGGTCAGAACTTGTTTTTCATTCAACCACTCAGATACTCGTAGGTACTTTCTGAATTTATATTCCGATGGTTCAGTTAATTTGACATCTATTATGTTCAAAAATGGAAGACCAGGCAATACTATGTTTGGACATATGTGGGGCTTTCAATCAATCCAGGTGCCAACAAAGTTAGTAAATTAATATGCACTTTAACAACCAATTTTAAGAAACGTATTGAAAAATCTCAGTAATTGATTAAACAAAAAATTGTATAAAACAAAATGTTCTTTTTAAGTAAATTCTAATTCTACTATTGAATAATGTTCATACATATTGCTGAATACACATGCTAAGGTATGTTTAAGTTATCTGCATGCTAGCATTAAACGTTTAATCAAGTTCAACATATTCGTAAATTCATATTGAAATTCAAATAGCCCGTATTGTATCCATTCGTTTGGTTCAAGGATTATTTATGTTAAAATAATGCTGTCCGTCTGTTGTTTGTGCATCGGCCTGTCACTAACATTTCAATCGGCTCAGTTTTTGCTACAGCTACACTCGTACGCTTTTAAACTCGTACAAAATCGAATATTTATAGTCTCTTAAACATCTTTATTGACGCGGGACTGACAACTTAAAGAATGGACGAAAGTATCGAACACTTGCCCCTATTCTATTACTGGCTGAGTCCTGCTAGACAATTGTTTTGTAATTATCTTTTAGAATTATTATTTTGAGCACTTATCAGTGGATCAGAGCGACGATGATTCAAAGACAACTGTTATGTGATTCAATAGGTTAATAATAATGACGAGGTTGCTCATTAGTGGACCAATCTCCTTAAAGAAATATAATAAATGGCGCAGTTTAATTTGGTAGACACACCCGAGACGGGCAGCGTATCTATCACAAGAACACTGGCTGACGTCCAAGCCGGACCAAGTGGTGGGCCGTTCCGTCGACATGCCGTGACAGGTGCGGCATGCAACCCATGACTCGCACGCTGTCGCCATACCGCTCACTCCGCTCCCTCTTTGATATTTATTTACTAACAGCATTTTGAATTTTAAATACCTTCTAGATAAATACGTCGCAGTAACGCTTCATATCCCAGTGATAGCAAAAATTAATTTATTTCATTGACCGTAACATGTGTATCTTTTATGAGCGTCATCTTTCACCCTACGATAATAACTGTACAAAAAAGTTTATCTTGGCTTTAGTTTGCACCATCAAATAGAAACGAGCATGTGCCAAAACAATCAATTGGATTAGGTGTCGCAGCATATAACAAAACAAGATATAAATTAAGAAAAATGTGACAGTTAGAATGTATAAATTAAAATTAATAGCACTATAGTGTTTATATTTCTGAATAGAAATCTAGTTCTTAGCATGTTGCCGCAAGCTGTACATCACAATCGAGCAAGCGTGGCAAGGCACGAAGTCGATCGAGCCAACTATTCATTGGCGCTCAAACGAACATTCAGTTCTAAATATTAACGTGGCTCGCGCTTTGTGACTAGAATAATACTTAATAACGCGCATTAAATCACAGTTAAATTAATATTTTTATTTTATGTTTCCAGGTACGGTCAACGCCAACGGGGAGACCAAGCGTCAAAGAACATCATACACTCGGTACCAGACACTTGAGCTCGAGAAAGAGTTCCACTTCAACCGATACCTGACACGGAGGAGACGAATCGAGATTGCGCATGCGCTCTGCCTCACTGAACGCCAAATCAAGATCTGGTTCCAGAACCGCCGCATGAAGTGGAAGAAGGAGCATAAGATGGCATCGATGAACATAGTGCCGTACCATATGAATCCGTACGGTCACCCCTACCAGTTCGACCTGCACCCGAGCCAGTTCGCGCATCTCTCCGCATAGGATCAGTGGAATTTTTCGAACAGCGGATAACTGATTTATTAAATTAGACAGTCGTCCGTAGATACGGAGTTGTGTGTAATATTTAGGTATACCTATATGTTACAACAACTAGACTGGGTCAGTTATTCGCTCTTTGAAAAATTTTATAGTGTAGTCTAATTTTGTTATTGTTATTATGACGTTACGAGTGACGTGAACAGTGCTTGTGCGGCAAAATACAGTGGTACAAGACCAAAGTGACGACCAAGAAGAGTTTACTGTGAGGAATAAGACACGTAACATTAAAGTTTGTTCCAGTTTTACATACTTCGAAACGTTCATGAAATTATTTCACCATATTTTCATGTCGCAAAGTGTTAATCGTAAACTTAAACTACAACGGTGTTAAAAATTAAAGTAGGATTGAATTTTACCTAGTCATAAGCTGTATCGATTTAAACTATTCGTAAAACTGTAAGATAAAATACATTTGAATACCGATATTATGTAACGCGTTGGCTTAAAATTTTGGACAGTAAACTACGAGACATCAGGTATTTGAATTTTATTTGAATTTCACTGCTTCTTATATTGAAAAGAAGCAGTGAAATTCAAATAAATTGGCTAGCATTGGCTAGTATGATCTTTGATGCAAGAAAATAACTCGATGCACGTTGAATAGTAAAAAACAATACTTGATGTTTCGTGGTTTTCATCGCTGACATTTCATTTAATTAAGAATATATAATAGCCAGCGTAAGTAGTCATCTCAAGAATAAAACAAATTCGGAATTGTACAGGGATAGAGTAATCGTGTATGAACAACATAATGTTAAAGACAAAATGTATCAGAAAATATTATATTTAGGTCATTTCATAATCTAGTAACGAATATTAGAGAGGGCTTGTAAAAGCGCTGTGAAACTTAATGAAGTAAGCTCAGTAATTGTGAATAGGCGATTCCTTCCTATTAATGTAAATAACATGTCACGCAGTAGGTACGGTAAAGAAATTTAATATATATCAGTATGTCTCCCGAACTGTTTTATGTTCCTGTTCTTAGTTTGTAAATAACAAAGTATTTACATCGCTATAAATACCTATAATAATTACCTACATAAGTAATAATAAATAGTAATTTTTTAAAGTTTCCACAAATGATACCATTTTAAAATGTACATGTGGCTCTATTGCATACTTTAAAATCTTTAATGTCGTAATATGTAAAATGTACTTAAAATAATTCTAGTGATTAAAATTCTTTTCTTTTTTTATGTCTTCATATATTTTAACTTTTAAATGTATTCCGAAAACATAAATTGTTACGTAAAACAACAATTAACAGCAAAATTGTTTCAAGGTTTGATACCTTCAAGGTATTGAAGCGTCTGTTATGATCAGACGCCTCAACAAGGTTAATTCCTCTTGTTTGGGTGTCATACAATTCACGTATGTCATTACCTAACCTTGCCGAAACGTCCCATGATGAATAAATTGTGTTTAATCATTTGATCTTACGGTTTTATAAATCGCCGCTTAAAGTTTTGTTGTCACATTTTTATTAGAAAACGTCGTGGTCAACTGTGATATTTTGTTAAATTTTAATTCTTAAGAGAACAGCGCGATTTGAGTTCGTATATTTGATTTTATTTCGAAGAGAATGTTTGTAATGCTTATTTTTCTTAATTGGTACATTTGTTGCTTTATTTATTGTTTGTAAATATTAGATAACATAGTATAAACTAAAAAAAAATGTTCAAATTCCTAAATAATAACTTCTTTCCTTTCTTTTGTAAAAAAAAAACTGTGCAATAGGACGTGGCCTGACTTAATCGTCTTCTTTCATTTTGTAAAATAATTTCTTTCTAATTTAGTTATGTTATTTCTTTATTAACTAATAAAATAACGTTTATCGTTCATTCCAGTTTAAATGAGGACTCTAGTAAAGTATGCTACTGATCATTTAAATTATTGTATTGTATTAATAAAGTGTATTAAATTTGAAAAATTGGTGAAGATGATAAAATAAATTATGATGATAAAAATATGTTTCAATGCAGCTTTATAACTGAGACAAATATTTGCCCTTAAAGACGGCATACGCAAGCGATTTCTTCATGTATGGAGACTGTACGAGTAAATGTTATGAAATTCAACTTGATTAACTAAGATATGATTTATGTTTCTGATCATAGTTCAACTAAAAGACAAATGGCAACGTGAGTAACAACAAGTTGATTCAAAATTTGTTCCACATTAAAGTCTAAACGGTTAAAACACAAAATGATCGTTACCAATAGAAAGTATTGAACTATTGTTGAAACGGCGAGCGCCAGTGAGACGCCGGCAGGCTGATGGCAGTATTGAGAGATGATAAATGATCGCCATAGCAATGACATGACAGGCGAACCTGTGAGGGGCGAACAGCGTTCACCACGTGCCAACAAAGAGTGTCGAAAAATGTGAAGGTTGCCTTAGTTTGTAGGTCGTTCGGAGGCTAAATAAATCATTCTGTCGGAATATTGTATAATGTTTTGATGTGTATAGCTGAAACTGAAAGGTTTGACGTTAAATTGGTTGCTAAGTTACCCGTTGTAGCTGTAGGGAGGTGAACCAGTAAAGAGCTGATATCAGCTCTTTACTTGTTGGGCATATGCCCAAGTAAAGCGATTGCTGTTTGACTTTATTTTGAGCAATAGTCTGTGTGTAAAGATTATTTTCATAAATTATTGCACACATCTGTACACCCTATACTCGTATATATACATTTTAAACACCTATTCTGTCCCAACACCGAGGGACAGTTCACCCATCACGAAAATTCCTGTCGAGTCTGAAACTAGTCGGTCATAAGACTGGGATATTTAGGTACATAGGTATATACGTAGGTAAAATAGTATTTCTGGATAACTGTACGAAATACTGGCATTTCTTTATTTGAATTAATATATCAGTCAGTCAGTATTTCTGATAAATTTTGCAAAGTCATTAGAAGATAATACATTAAATTCAGCATTATTTTACCATACCAAATTAGGTACAGAGGTAATGGTGCCATAAGGCTTACTTCAAGTGTTCAAAATTATTTTCAGTAAACTCAACAATAAAAAAAACTCATATTGCGCGTCTATTTAGCTGAGTTTTTTTGATGTTTTCGTTATAAAGCAGATATGATATGATATACAGAGCATGTAACACCTGATATGGACGGCTGTTGAAGCTCACCGCACCGCAACGTCAGTTGATTTGTGACGTGTAAATAAACATGATTGTAAGTATATGATTATGATAATTAAATTGAGGTTTATCTTAGTGAATATATGAACTTATTTTATATTTACTTTTTAAAAACAACATAAATATAATTCATTTGTATTAAACAAATTACTTTAGGTTCATAGTAAGAGTATACCCACAAAAAAAAACTTTGCAATAGAATTATTAGGCGGCATAGCGATTCTCGGTTACTTACTTGTTAGGATTGCCCGTGTCCCGTGCAGTTGAATCACTTGTAACAAAACATAGTGTGATTTTAGTCGGTTCCAGTTAGAATATTACGTCATCCTCGGCTCTGGTGAGGAGTTGGTTTCCAGACGAAAAAAAGAACTTTTAGGATCAAGATAAGCAACTCTTCTCTTTTACGTATATTTATTTACATTAGTTAAATAATTAATAAATTCTACATACATGAGACTTCATGCAGCAGGACATAATTAATAATAATAACTTAATACATTTTACATACCACTGTTTGATCCCAAACTAGGCAAACCTGTGCTATGGTCACTAAAACCAAAAGAACCAATAATAATGAAAATGTTATTCCTGCTAAATACATACATATTTTAGATAAATTACACCCAGACACATATCAAATGATTGTGCTCATAACACAATATTTGTCTTGGGTGGGAATCAAATCCGTAACCCCAGACCCGAGTCAGGGTCACTAACCACTGGATCAACAGACCCGTTAAAAATTAATAAATCCATATGTAATTACTACTGTAAAAAAGGAAATACGTTTTTAAAAGTAGAAGTTATAATGTGTCTTATAAATTAACTGTTTTCAGGAAATAAATAAACATACGAGTACTACTGACGTGGATGTTGCACATGGTATTTTGACAGTATATCTTTTTTTTACCATGTTCATGTAATCAGCTGATGAAGATTTTAGATACACAAAGGAACACTTTGAAATGATAGTGCATTAAGTGTAATTACGTTTATGTTGTACGGGAAGTTTTTTTTACGTGTGGAAACCATCTCGGGTCGTCACCCCCACCGAGGTTTGCGGGGGGCTGGTGAGTCGGAATCGAATCGACTAAAACCACACGGTGTGCCACTCTGCGCCTGAAATAGGAGGGATCCAAGGACCGCTGATATTAAGAAATCCGGACCTCTTCTAGCGCCTGTCCGCAATAACGCGGGCACCACCTTCTTGTACACTCTCTATCCAGGTCAGGCACACGCGGACGTTGTTGTACGGGATCTTCTGCAGCCACGCTCCCGCATATCCACTACCTCGAGTTGCAGCTGAGCTGAGGATGCAGGGTGAAAGGCGAACATTCTAGGCCTCAAAACAGAATTTTATCCCTAGGGAGGATACTCGAATAAAACTGAGCACGTATAGAAGCTGAGGGCTTGGTCACAATGGGTTGCCCAAAAACTCAGCTAATTGAAAAAAATTACACATATTACAGGAATTAGAAAGGACCCAGCTTTAGGAAAGTGTGTTAAATTGCTAGATAACCGTTGACTAGGAACGGTCTTCTAGTACGGAATAACTGTTCGCTAGAAAAGAGGTGTACTTTTAGAAAGGGTGTATATAGCCCATTGCATCCTCATCGACGTCTCTTAAATAGTTCCTATAGCTAAGTTGATGGTCAAAATAAAGGATATGTGTCTCTTGTTTTTCATGTGTGGTGGTAGTCACTTACTACCATGTAACCCTTACCTATGCTCGTTTACACACTATACCTACCATGGAAAAAGCCTATGGGTATAAATATTACATT